TTTTCATCTTTGTCACCGTCTACATCTTTTTCTTCACTTGGATTTTCTCGTCTTCTTTCTTCCTAACCACTTCTCCGTCTTCATTAACTCTTATTTCTCACACAGCTCTCTCTCTCTCTATCTCACTCACTCACTCACTCACTCTTTATGTTTGACACATCTTGTTTTCTCCATTTTTTTTATTTTCCTTTTGCGCCAGTTTTTCTGTTTTTCCTTTTCAACATTTATTTGTTGATGTCCTTTTTCTTCTTCACACTTGCACTTTTCACTTTCTCTTTTATTTTTCTCACTTATTTATCAATCTTCTTTTTATTATACCCTCCTGTTTCTAGACTTTAGCCAATCTATTATTTTCTCTATTCTACTCTTCACAAATTTCTGTCTAATACTGCCTCTATCAGAAAAGACATTTACTTAAAAGAAGAATAGCCTAAGGCCGCCAATTCTCCTCGTTCAATCTGTGTGGACTTCATATAATATCAGCTCAGCTACATTTACAAGCCTATAAGTTGGTGCGTATAAATACACATACATGTAGTACCAGCATACGAGTTTAGTCAAGGACACTGAGGCTAATTTTCTGTATGACTGTTCTTGGAACTCTCAAACTGTTTATCATTCTTGCAGAATTCCTGTGTACTTAAAGAACAAGTAGCGTTCTTCAAAAGTTCTGTTAAATTCCCGCTTTACAGAAAATGAACCAAACTTTTCTCTTTGGTGTCAATAAAAAAACAGATTGATTTCTGTCCAATGGAAATAGAAACTGTTGATTGTACGTGATGCCAATATTTTCTGTTTTGTTTCTTCAAATTCTCGCGCGTTTTTGAAAGGAATGCCAATCGTACCATTTGTACATTCAGTAAAACTTCTCAAAAACGTTTGCAGGACATAATTTTATAAACAAATCCACAAACACATACGTATCGATATATACATGCATAATTATATCAGTATATAGATATATGTACTCATATAGGCATACATTAAAAAAAAATCTAAAATTTAAAATTCCCAGTATCCCTCGTTTCAGCGCATGTACAGTTGCACCACGTTGTTATACATTTTCCCCAATACATATATGTAAAAGTAATATACTTATGCATATGTGTAAAATATAGATATATGCAAAAAAATAAAATACGAGCAGCTCCTCGTATATATAGGATGTATTCGAGCCTAACAAGGATATATTACAGCCTAACAACAAAAGCATAATCATATTGGAAAATATTAAAATACACATTGTGACATTTTGCAACTAAATTGGTAAAATCTGGAATTCCGCAATTATATTTGCACCGCCTGATGAGCCATGAACTGTGAAACGGCAAGTTGCTTACGATTTTAATTTGGTCACAAAACTAATTTAATGAATAACGGAGAGTGGTAGATTAAAATCCTTGGGACTAACATCTCAATCTACATGGAGAACACTTATCTCCAAAAATCCAATTCCGAAAAGGATAACCATGAGAAACGATTAAATAAGTATTATTCTACCCCACCCCACCCCACCCCACCCCCAAGGGTATGCGTCCGTGTCATACGCGTGAGTAATGTCAAAGACAGCATGATAAATGCCTTAAGACAATTAGTACTCTGAAGTCCCGTATATCGGCAGGTTTATTAATAACCAAAAGGTCAAAACTAGAAAAGGAAAATAAATACAATTAAATAAGACGAGTTAGAAAATAGAAACAAATAAGAATAACAAGAAAAAAAAAAGGGCAGCCGAAGACTTGAACATAAAACTATTTGTCTAAATAGGTAAAGAAATATAGCGACTACTTTATTGACATAAATATGTATAAAGTTTGCTACAGGAATACATTTCACTGTTGGAGTGAGTTCACAGAAAAGGAAGTTAGAAGATCAGATTTTGCAACAGTGTAAGGACAGTGGTCATGTGTTGAAAGGATTCTACATGGAGAGATAGAAAAAAATAAAATATGGCTACTTTAAACAAATGTTCAAATAATAATATAGAAATAAAATAGACAAATGTAAAGAGGAAAGTTATTAAAAATTATAAACCAATGATGGTTTACTTGGCGAGTAGAGGATAAAACTAACGACCACGTGCTTGATGTAATGTCTTTATTGTGCGGGGTTTCAGTTAGAGAATGACCGGAAGTAGTCAAAATATTGACACTCTAGAAGGTAACTAAACTAAAAAAAAAAAAGGGATAAAGGGAAAGTATGTACTGTAGTAACAGAACAAGTGTTGTTTGATCAGCAAAGAAGAATTTTGTAAGCAACAACGCTGCGTCTTTTATTAAATTCGCACACGACTCCGAAAACAATTTAATGAAGTCGTTAGGATATTTAATACGAAAAATAAACCTGATCTCACCAGACATTTATGTCACTCTTGCCAAGTTAGTTTAAGATGAGGCAAGGAATTTTAGCCTCCCTCAAACCCGTAATGAATCTGATAATAATGCTAGTTACGTTTTCAAGAAGATTAATCATTGTATAAAAATTCTTTTCAAACTGTTTATTTTCGACACAATCAGTCTTCTTATCTTCCCGGAAGTAAACACAACCCACAAATCTTATTTAGCTGGAAAGAATTCGAAGTGCGTCGGCCATTTTTAATGCAGAAAGGTCAAAGTTTGTTCAAAAGAAAACGCCTCTATCGTTTCAAGCAATTCGAGACAGTTTATCATTTACGACAAAATTGTTTTTGTCTGAGATTTCGTGATGATATTTTGTTACTATTAACTGATTTTTCTTGCCATTTTCATATTTGTCTCATAGATGAAAGAAGTTGGACGATTAGGACTCTCAAAAGAAGAAAATGTTTGATATTTACAAAACGTTTGTCTCTTATTTAGATTCATATGGATTGAGATGGGTTCGCTACAGATTAGTGTCTAAAGTTTTAATCTTTCAAGCGATTACTCGTCTGTTATTTATGTTCCATTTTCAAAATTGTCTGATAAATGAGGAAAGTACGAAGTTAAAGACTCAAAAGAAAAATGTTAACAGAAGAGGTTTATATGGCTAAACATTGCTGTCATGATTATATGACTAAACATTGCTGTCATGATTATAATGGTTAAACGCAACGACTAGTCTCTAATTGGTGGTTTCGGTCATTAATTGGCGGGAAATCAGTCCTTAGTCGCTGCTTAGTTTGGTGTCAGACTTGCGTTAGTTTTGTAAATTTTTACATCTACGATTGATTAAAATTTGTAGATATTTATTAATAAATAAAAGAGACCAATTTTCTAGAACTCATTACCGTGTGTATTATTAAAAATATGCCAAAAACATAACTTGTAATGACGAGGTCTGCTTAGTAATCAAAGTAAATGTGTATCGTGTACGAACCCTAGAAATGTCCAGGGTTTTCAGTACAGATCTTTAAAAAGCATCTTCCCTGAAGTCTTCTAACACTCACAATATTTATCTTATAAAATATGCAAATCTTAAATGAAATTTTAAAAAAATCTGCCAAGATATCAAAATAATTTTCAATATTTCCCTTTCATGAGCAAGGAAAGTCTAGTCATTTTATTTATTGCTATTTGGTTGCATGAACGGCTATTGACAACTGTTATTTCAAATCTTAAACAATGAATTAAAATGCGATAACACAATAATCATTTCAGTAGATTAATATCGTAAAATGATGATTCTATGGTTACGATAAAAGCAGCAAGATAAAGGAAGAATGAATGGAAAACTGAAAACAGTGGAGCCGTTAGTTTCGAAGAAACATCATTGCTCTTAAAATAAGTATTCAAAATGAAAAGGAAGAGGCGCATATACGCATATATACTTACGCGAATGCACACGCATATACACACCCACATACATGCACTCAAATGTTCGCACATACATATGTGTGTGTGTGTGTGTGTGTGTGTGTGTGTACACGAGTGGGGTTTCGAAAATAGCACTTCCAATTTCATGGCGGTGGCCTTGTGGAAATAGAGTATTTTGTAACTGAAAACTTGCTTTATCCCAGGATATGCTTACGTCTGTTATAGTTCATGTGCAAATGATCATTAAGCGATATTGATTCTCAATGAGTACGATTCTTTCTGTATAGAGGAATTAAATATCATACCGCTGCTACATGACTACTTTTATGTCAGACGCCATTTTGTCAAACTTCCATCTCTAACAAGACCAAAAATATAATTGAGTTTTTTGTGGGTTTTTTTTTCATGAATTTTTAATTAATATATATATATATATATATATAAATATATATATAGATAGATAGATAGATAGATAGATACAGACAGACAGACAGACAGACAGACAGACAGAAGTAGACAGAGGGAATGCATACAGACAGACAGGCAGAGAGAGACAGAGAATTAATACTTTTGTGTTTTGTACTCTTTTAGCCCCTGATGTGGTATGATTATATTATTTTTTTTTTTATATGTGCCGGTATGATTATATTTTTTTCTTTACTCTCACCCCCACGTAACTCAAGAGGGTGTTCATTTTGTACGGTTTATAACTTTCGAAATAATTTTCTCCATGGCACAATTATTTTTTTTCAGCTTATAGAACTTTCCAGCAGAACGTTTATTTGAACCGGTACACTTATTTTCCGAGCGTCACGACTATTCCAAATTTGTATTTTATAAATATTAGGTTGGTGAATATCAGGCGTTTTAAAACAATATTTATTATGAAAAAAGAAGCATAACAATTCAACAATAACATTTTTAAATGAGTATGATTATCCACACGCATTTTTATAACCTGAAAATAAAATAGTATTTTTATTTAAAAAAGTAAACAAAGCAGTAATTTTTATTAACAAATAAGTCGCCTTTTAAAACGCCTGATAATTATGCACCAATCCAATAATTGCACGGCTCGAGTTCATATCAGGGGAATATGGATACAAAGATTGTACTTCGTCGAAATTCTAGAAGAGAAGAATCCAATTACCTTGAAAATCAGCATTCAACAAGCTTTTTCGAGGACGAACTGTTAGCGCCAGTGGCAAATACTTACCTTTCTAACCCATGAATCAGGCCCCAGTTTCTTTTGTTTTCTACATCATATTAAGCACTCATATATCATTTCCTTCTGTTTCTGCCCAACACTTCTTTTTTCCTTCCTTTTACTGTTTGCTTTTGTATTTTGATCGGTTTGATTTGCATTTTTGTTTTTTTCTTCTTTTCTTTTCTTTTTTTCTTTTTTTTTTTTTTCTTTTTTTTTTATTACACGGCAAAATATCGGTCCGTACCGCGTCTGATTTTCTCAAATCACAGCTCCTGGTGAACCATTCTTATCTGATCACACCCTTGCAAAATACCAGGTTTTAATTCAATGAGTCTACCTAATTGAACGTCTTCAGGCGGCTTCAACTGCAGACCATCTTTATCGCGTAAGTGCGGCGGCTGAGCGAACACAGAGGCTTACACTCACAGATACATGTGCTGGAATAAGAGAGAATAAGCGCGGCTACACGATCTACGTGATAGCGTTAGATTCTCTACCGTGTGAATTTTGTTAACTAAATCTCTACACCAGTGAACAAAAGAACAGAGAAACATTCGGACCCTGCTGAACCCACGAAATGGTGGCGGAAAATACCCGCACTGGACATATTGTGATTGTAACATTCAAAGAAAATGCACGTATAGCAAATACTATCCAGCCGCTGAATCAATCTACCAATAGACTTCATGCCGTCTCTCCAAAGTTTTGTTGGAACGACTCTGTGATCTTGAAGATGGCTGACAAATTCGTGTAACGTGCCCAGGGAGGATCGAACTCACTGTATATTAGCAAACGTACTGCTAAATCAGTACACAATATTATGAGTTCAAAAATATATCATTTCAAAAATGCATCAACATGTTGAAAGAATAACGGTTATCACGTATGAGAAAGCAACAAACCAATTTCGATTCTTATCTGTGACCCTTTGTATCACTCTTGTACTCATATCCTTAGAAAAGATAGCAAACAAAATTTCTGTCTGATGGTAACACATTTTAATAACAGTAATTGTCTTGTCATTCGTAAATAGTGAAAAGAATGAGCAATTGTTTTAGACGCAATCGCAGCCAAATGGTTACGATTTGAATTGTTAACCTCAGAAGATGGAGGCTATTAAGGTGAAATTTCCATTTTTTTTTTTCATTTTTAAATTAAATGACGAATTTTAGTTTGTTACTGTGACTGCAGAAAAATATTCAGAATTATGAATATTCAGCAAGACAATTGGACAGCGTAGCTTTTCAAGTGAATATACACGAAATTCAAGTTAAAAATCCGAAATATTTGCAAATCTGATGACACACTAAGAACAATTACATGCAATATTTATTATTATTATTATATATATATATATATATATATATATATATATATATATATTTATATATAACCTAGAAAGAATAACGAAAATGGAGATAGGAAATAAAATGGTAATAGCGTCCAACGTATTTATGAGGATTGGGACATTCCCTTTAGTGTTCATAGATATGGCATATATATATATATATATATATATATATATATATATACATATATAATTAAAATTGTAGTTCAATACGACGTATTCATATAAAAAAAACCTTTTAGGAAAATCTTTATGTATACAAGTACAAATTTAACTGTCGAAACAAAACTGCCGAAAAACTTTCTGTCGTTGAAAAAAAACCAGACGACATGCGTTGAACGGATGTCATCATTCTTTTGAAAAAGCACCCCTACCCTAGTTGACTTAAGCTCTTTTCGAAAGTAACTAATATGTTGATACAATAGTTGTCAGTGAAAAAGAATACCCTATCACCCCTTGTTAAAATGATTGGATTTCCCCATATCCATAGAAACTAATATTATGATTGTATGTGCTTATAAAACTCAGTAAATTTCAAAATAAGTTATTCCAAAATTCGCTTGAAAATGAAACAGAACTAGGGATTTCAAATTTAATTTAATTCTATAATTGAATTTGAAGTTTTTAGCTTCTGTTTTTGAAACATGGTAATTCCTGTGTAGCGATGGAACCGTATTTTTAAATAAGTAAATTTATAATATTTATGCTCTGTAGATTTGCATTGAACACTGTTTTGTAAAAATAAAATATTAATAAGAACACCGGATTATATATCTTACTGTTCTTTCTCTTTATTATATATATATATATATATATATATATATATATATATATATATATATATATATATATATATATATATGTGTGTGTGTGTGTGTGTGTGTGTGTGTGTGTGTGTGTGGAGATTGTTGGCTTGCGTGTAGGGCGTGTAACTGACTTGACAAATATTTCCATAAACTTTTCTAATAAAAATTTTCAATAAAATTATTTAATGAATAAATTAGTGCTGAAATTTTCATTAAAAACTGCTATTTCTCTGATTTGGGCAATTTTTAAAAATTCTATGCATAAAGATTTCCTATTAAAAAGTGCTTGATGACTGTAAGTTCCGCAAATGTTTTCTGACATTCGTAGCAAAAAGGAATTAAAAAGAAAAGAATGGACAATTTAATAACTCATCTATCAATTTTTTCGACTTCATTCAGTGTAATAAATTGTTTTATAGTTAAAAAGTCTTCGTTGGGGCAATGAAACCTTTTGATAGAAATAATTAATGAGGTTGTCAACAAACTAATTTTAATGAGTAAAAGTTTCAAAATTTATCCGCAACCTACACAGACTCAGCAAGGATTGCACATTTACAGCTGTTACTGTAAAGGATGCATTCATTAATGCAGTTAATGTCAGCAACCATTCGACAGCCCCCTACCGGGAAATATACCCCCACCATCTCTCTCTCTCTCTCTCTCTCTCTCTCAATCCTAGGATCAAGCGAGGACCTGGCGCAACATAATGCAGAAACTTTTATACTACAAGTTTCTGCTGCTGCGATAACAGCAAAAACGTTCTATTACTTCTGGCCACCCTCTCTCGAAGCACCAGTAACCACTGCCTTGTCTAGACGTGCATGTTTTTTTTTTTGGGGGGGGGGGGTTCTGTGGGATCAAATTACACCCTTGTTCGTTATGCTCAGCGAAAAAACAACGACTGTTCTTCACATGGAAAAAAATTGTCAGTGTTCTAGGGTATGAAAAAATAAAAGTAAGAAAATCGCTGACCCTTGTATTTTCTCGGTGACATCATTTATCTCCCTTTCAAAAAGAAATATGAAAATTAAAGTCGATAGGATTTCTATTAGCTCTTGGATTAACACGGGGAGCACAGATAATCTTATCGACGCAAGTATCGAGACCAAACCGGTGGACATCTTTTTCTTGATCCAACTGAGTAGTCATGGCGAATGTTACATTATCATCTCACGTGATTGGATATTATCTAGTGGATCTGAATTTTAAAGGAGCATTGTATCATAGGGTAAATGATTAAGGATCTCTATTGCGATTATATAGTTGGACACAATTTCCTTCAGAGACTCTCTCGTGTTCTATAAATTTGTGTAAATACTGAATCGAGGTAAATGCTGAAATCCTGAATGCTGAATATTGGAAATACTGCATTCCTAAATATAACTCATAAAAATGATGATGACATCTGGTAAATCTAGACTTAACCGTAAATAAAAGAGTTAGTATATTGGAAATCTGAATATAAATCATAATAACCATGGTAACATCGGCTAATCCTAGACAAACACATTATATATGATTTCACTTACGGATAACAGGTGTTATCAACATTATTATGATTGATATTCAGGATTCCATTATATTATTCCAGAATATTATCATGATTATTATGATTTATATAAAGGATTCCTCTATATAATAGGTATTAGTGTTTTACCTTAGGTAATTGAAATATTTAAATTGTATTAGGGATTTAAATACGTTAACCCAGTGTTTTCAGGATTATTATGATCATATTAATCAATCAAACGGTTAAAATGAATTATGTAGGGTATTGACAAAGTTTTACAAGATGTTATCATGATTATGATTGAAACCCAATATTAAAATATTTAAATTGTACTAGTTAATGTTTTATCTATGGTAACCCGATTTTGTTAAGATTATTATCATTATGTTCACCATTTCAAAGATTCACAGTATTAATTATTGTTTAGCTGACTTTTACCAGACGTTATCATGATTATTATGATATCTATACAGGACTCCAATAATGAAATTGTATTAGCCACAGTTGTACCAAGCGTTACTCGATCTTGTCAGCAGTATTACGATTATAATCATCATTCCAAAGTTTTAAATGTAATAGTTACGAGTTCGCTTAGACTTAATAGATGCCATCGTGATTACATTGATTTATATCCAAAGTTCCAATATATAAATTGCATTAGTTGGGGTTTAATCTAGCGGTAAACGAAGTTGTCAGGATTATTATGATTATATTCTACATGAAAAAGCTTCAAAGTTATTATTTAAGGTTTTGCCAAGGTTTACTAGATGCCATCAAGATTATTATGACTTAGATCCGAAATTACAATACTTAAAATTAATTAGATAGGGTTTAATTTTGGATTGATATTTATTTTTCAGTGTTATTATTATATGCCTCATTCCAAGGGTTCAAAAGAATAATTTAGGATTACGTCTTCGGTTACTAGATGTCATCACGATTGTTATGATTTATATTCAAAATTGCAATATTTAAATAGTTTTCGTTAGGGTTTAAAGTAGGGTTAAACGATGCTGTCACTATTATTATAATTATTTCCATGATACCAATGTTACAATGTATTACTTAGGATTTTCGCTAGGATTACTAGATGCCATCATGATTGTTATGACTTATATCCGAAATTGCAATATTTAAATATTATCAGTTAAGGTTTAACGTAACGTTTGAAGATATTGTCAGTATTATTATAATCATTTTCTACCATTCCAAGATTACAAATTAAGATATATATCCAAAATTGTAATATTTAATTGGGGGTTTAACGTAGGGTTGCGCGTTTTTACCACTATTATTAAAATTATTTCTATAATACCTATATAAGAACTGTATTAGTAGGTTATTACTAGACTAGGATTAACCTACTAATACAGTTCCAAAGTCGCAATGACTTTGACTAGTGTAATACAAGGCGTCATGATTACTATCATTTATAACCAAAATTCCAATATATAAATAATATTAGTTACTGATTAACATAGGTTTACATGATGTAGTCACTTTTAATTTAATTATTACCATCATTCCAATGTTACAAGTATATTTCTTAGCATTGTGGCTAGATTTACTACATGACATCAGGATTATTATGATTTATAGCAAAAATTTGAATATTTAAATATTACTAGTTAGGATTTAATCTAGGGTTGCCCTACATTTTCACTATTATTATAATTAATTCAATCATTCCAATGTTACTAATGTATTAATTGGTATTTTTAGTAGGATGGCTACATGCTGTCATATTTATTATGATTTATATCCAAAATTCGAATATTTAAATAGTATTAGGTTTTCCTGTTGTATACTCTCTTCTCTCAGGTTTATTATGATTATATTCATCATTCCAACCTTTCAAAATGATGGGTTATTTTTTTTACTAATGGTCTTCCAGATGTTATTATGAATTATTGTAATTGATATTCAGGTTTCCCAATTTCAATTGTATTAGTGTTTTGCCTATAATTGGCAGATGTTATTTTCATTATTATGATTTATATTCTGGCTACCAACATTTCATATGTATTGTTTACATTTTTGTCTAGGTTATCATTATTAAGATTGATATTTAATATTACAACATTGCAACTATATTAGGGTTTGGGAAAGTTTCAGCAGATGTTAATATTATTATTATTTCAACTTTTCAACAGCATTAGGATTTTGCCTAGGTTTATCAGATGTTAATTTTGTTTATATTCAGGATTACAACATTTCAACTGCCTTAATTGGGAATCTGCCTAGTATTCCATTCAACATTTCAAATGTATAAGATTTTTGCCAAGGGTTAACAGATGTTATCATGAATATTATGATTGATACTCAAGATTCCAACTTTTCAACCCTATTATTTGGTGTTTGGCTTAGGTCTTCCATATCTTATTATGATTATTATTATTTATATATACGATTCCACAATTCTAACTTTATTAATTTGTGTTTTATTTAGGGTTAGTAGATATTACCAATAATATTATAATTGATATTCAGGATTCCAACATTTCAATTGTATTACTTAGAGTTTTCCCTAGAGTTACCAGATGTTATGATTAGTATTATGTTTGATATTCAGGAATCCGTAATTTTCAGTCTTTAATTAGGGTTCTTCTTAGTGTTACGATATGTTATTATTATTAATGATTTTATTTTCTGGATTCCTAATTTGAACGGTTTTAGGGTTCTGCCAAATTTTAATAGACGGTACCATGGCTATTTTCACTTATATTCATCATTCTAAATTTCAACTGTATCACTGACAGCATTATCTACATGTTATCAATATTATTATGATTGATATTCATGATTCTAAAATTTAAACTGTATTACTTAAGGTTTTGCCTATTGTTCCAGATGTTATCATTATTACTATGATTTATTATTCATGATTCCAACATTACAACTGAATTAGTTAGGGTTTATGATCTCCAATTTCAACTTTATCATTTAGGATTTTGCATAGGGTCACCATATTTTATCATTATGATTAATATTCTGTTACGATTAATATTCTAGATTTTAACATTTCAACTGCACAAGTCAGGGTTTTGTCTAGGGTTAATAGATGTTATCTTCATTGTGATGATTTATATTCAGGATTCCAAAATTTAAACTCTATTAGTTATTCCTTTACTCAGTGTTACCAGGTATTATCATGACTCTTATGATTGGTATTTAGGATGACAAAATTTAAACTGTATAAGTTAGGGTTATGCTTAGATTTACCAGATGTTATCATGATTATTATGAGTTGTGGTCAGGATTCCAACATTTCATTTTTATCAGTTACTGTTTCTCCTAAAGTTACCAGATCTTATCATGATTATTTTGATTTATATTCATTATTTTATCATTTCATCTGTATTATTTAAGGTTTTGCACAGGGTTACCCCTAATAATATCATTGTTATTCAGGATTCCTACATTTTAACGCAATAAGTTAGGGTTTTACCTGGGGTTACCAAATGTCATCATGATTATTATGATTTATATTCAGGATTCCAGCATTTCAACTATATTACTTAGGGTTACGAAAACTTACTATGAACCCTATAACTCTAGAAACATATACACAACCCATACACCCAAATAAAAAATAAAAAATAAAATAATCCTTGATATTGGCTAAAAGTTTAGCCGAAAGCGTCAGAAAAGAAAAACACTTTTTTGAACAGAAGAAAAAATGAAATAAAAACCTTAATCGCACTACCTTGTCTGTTGACTTTAATGAAATATGTATAAAAGAGGGATTACTGCCTAAATACACAATACACACACACACACAAATTTATATATATATATGTGTGTGTGTGTGTGTAAATAAAAAGAAAGAACATTAAGATATATAATCCGGTGTTCTTATTGATATTTTTTATTTTTATTTTTATTTTTACAAAACAGTGCTCAATGTAAATTTACAGAGCATAAATATTATAAATTAACTGATTGAAAATATGTTATTTTTCAATCAGTTAATTTATAATATATATATATATATATATATATATATATATATATATATATATATATATTATATATAACAGTCGTGATTGTGTTATTCTCTGTCAGAATTTACCACGAAACTCCTCTATCTCATTTCTTCATTATTTTTTCTGTATGTTTGCTAACCATTAAATACCATTCAATCAACATTTAATCCATCTTCTTGCTATTCACCATACCAGATTCCATTTTGTGATT